ATTCAAAATTCTGCAAAAAACCCACGAGATAAAACCTTACAGTACCTTCCTCTACAGTTCCCCAGGCTAATGACCTCAGTTGTCAAAGCCCTAACCATAAAAAAAAAAATTTATATCTATAGAAATAATAACTAATTAAAAAAAAAATTTTTTGATTAATGTGGATTAATTTAAGTAATTTGAAAATTTGACGTTTTATTTAACATTACCCTATAGTCTATACCTATCATAGGGTTTTGTTACATATAACTCGATTTTAAATAGCTCAATTGTATATAACTTGGTTTCCCCAAAATATAATCTAAGCTCAGAGATATAGAGAGATGAATATAAATAATTAGGTAATTTACTATCGGGAAATAAATGTACAACACAGCGTGTATACATTTTTATTCCGTGGCTTTTAATAACGGCTATAATATGTTTTATACTTTTATGACCATTATAACATTGCGTATGGTATAATAAAACGAATAATTTGTCTGTCATAACTCATGAGCATTGCGCATAMATGCGATTCTAAAATCGTTACCCTCCAGTTCACACGCATAACCGTGGTTTAACATACGTATATTGTGTTATGCACCTTAAAGTGGGAATTAAAAAATGTAGATTCAATTTCGATATCATTGGTCGTATGATATACATTTAGGCASCAATGYACATTTCCTATCTAGATAAAAATGTGCATTAATTTTTGATTTTATCTTATCCATAAATGAAAATAATTTAATTAACTTATCTATTTATATAAATAAAATTTTATCTGAGATAAATTATATCCGAWAATTTTTTGTGAAATTTTGTGTGATTGTTCTTTTATTTTCAATTTCATTAAATTTCTTTCGTGTACGTATTAATTATTTCATTGCGTATGAATATTACGTTTTACTGTAGCTATTTTGTAGTAAGTATAATATTATGCATTACCTGTAAAAACTGGCTGTAAATCATAGTGATTCGATACACTCTTATTTTGTTATACAAGTTTGACAATCAAAAYGTATGTATTATATTTTATATTATTATATTTAAGTATAGCAAAAATAGTATTGTACTAATGGAATTTTAAATCATTTTTATGATATATCTAAATTATCTGAGTTTTCTATATCTCACTATCTGTATAAWATCCCAATTAATTGTTTGTTGTTTATCGTGGATAGTTTTATTATTATAGTTTTAGGTTACAAATCTTTGCAAATACGTCATTCGGTGCGTGGTTTGTTCTATATGGCTAWATATGTTATGTCTCACGTTAGCAGGTCAAATATTACAAAAGATCATAATATTATTATGAAATTGTTTTTTTTTCTCAGTTACAGTACAGATAGAGTAAAACTCATCTTGCTTGGCGCGATTGTCGAAAAAATTGTCTTAATTAACGTTTCAACGTAAACTGCACACAGGTACGAGCCAATGTGTATACATTATTAAACATATACTATATATACATGCACCCTTAATCCTTATATATTTATAAGCATCTTATCTGCAGAGTTTGCAAATCTCAAGTTGTTTATAATATAGTTGTTTCGCCCCATATATACTTGAACATTATGTATACCTATATAATAATTGGATATGACTTATAACGACTTAAATGTTTAATTTAAATATATACGTATTAATTATGTAGGTACCTACGCTATTTATGTGGTGAAGGGTACCTTCCTATAGGTTATAGTTCGGTTTGATCCTTTTTGCCACGTAGGTATTAATAATTTTCGACAGACTATATATAGGTACTATATTATTGTTATTAATATTACATGATACACAGTACGCAGATTACCGTAATTATCGTATCAAATTATATGTGACGTTGTGCATATCACGACCTTATGGGACTTACAATACGGCCCGCTTATAAAGCTGCCAGGAGTATATTATAGTAATATGCGAGAAGTCGACCAATCACATAGCGTGTATTATACAAGACCAATTATTCATGGACTGCAGTGCGCGTTTGATGCATAATTAATATCGGTACCTAGGTGGGTTTATAATATTATGGTTACATATTTGATTTTATCAATGTTCGAAACTTTTGATTCATCGATCAATCCAAAAATAATCGTAACCACCAAGGTAAAATTGAAAATTAAATGCGATTCAATTCTGTAACTAATCCATCTATACTTTATATTTGCCAAACAGGAATACCTAAGTGGGTTTTGATTTGAATTTGAAATAACCATATTCTTTAAGTTCAAACGGTGAAATTAAATTTGATTAATATTGCTACGAATTTTTATTGGGAATATTACATTTATTTTTAAGATCAGTAGTGAAATTCATTAGTATAAATTATAATTAGATTTGTCTGAAATTCTTTTTCATGTATATATATTACTTCATGAATAATCAAATTATCAGCTACGCGAGTGCCACAGAGCAGGATATAAAAATTAAATTAAATATGATTGTGTTTTTGAATTTTCAGAATTGTACTTTCGCTACCCCAACACTTAAATCACCTCTGAACTTATTTACTACACAGTCTGTTTCACAGTGGTACCTAACGCCCATTTCGTAAAA